ACGACTTTGATTTACACGGATTTGTGTTGAGTAAAATGTAAATTTTAAATTTGACTTACATCAATACTGCAAGGAGCCGCCTTTTGAGAACAGCTGATTTTCACAGATGTTCGATGTACCCACCATTTGCTTGCACACAAGCTTCAGCGCGACGTATCCAATTCGCTCGCACGCGTTGCAACATGGTACGTCCTTTCGAATCATTACAAGCTTAGGCAATACGATGTCGCAGTTGGTCGATGTCACGAACTTCCGTAGGATACACAACACTTTTCACATATCCCCACAAACAGAAGTCTAAAAGGGTAAGGTTCGGCCATTTTCAAAAGAAAACTTGGAAATGCGGCTATTAAATGTACTCTCGAAAACAGCACAGCAATTACTACAACAATGTATTACAAATTGACTTTCGAATAGAGTCCGGCTTCACAAGAAACCTATAAACTCGTAAAAAGTGTTATAGAATTTTTTGTAAGTACTCGTGATAAAATACATGTAATTCAGCAGTTCCAAAACAGTTTTAAACACATTTTTAATTACCTTTTTTTATGGCCTTAAACTTCCGATACAAGTTTGTGGCATCAGTTAACTCAGTTTTTGCTCTTTATTAGGTCTGGAACTACGGGCAAATTGTATAAAGATGTAACTATGTATATTCATAGCGTAAGTAACGTGCTGTCAATGACAAATTGCCGGAGCTGGATCAACAAAACGACAGCTCGCCTCCTTTTTGTCCTATGCATAGCGCGAGACAGCAACTTAAATAATAGTCCTTTACCATAAAGGCGCCAGTGTTAAAATAGAATGCAAAGTTTTATTCCGGATCCCGTTTTAAAAACAAGGTGTTGCGGAGCTTCACAGGCCTCACTCAGCCGGAGTCCTGATGTCTCTAGAGTCCTTCTTCCCAGGACGACACTTGGAGGTCCTTCAGGCCAACACCAGTCCTTTTCCAGGGCCTACTCTTACAACTCTACAGGGAATGTGTTGTTTTTGTGAGAGAGCATCTAGAGCTTTTGCATCGGCGAGAGATAAGGGACGAGCCGCGGACGCCTTTGTACTTTTTACTGCGAGTACTTATTGGTTAGTCGCTAAGATAAAAGGGAATTTATGTAGCGAGCTTGGAGAGGAAGAGTGCCCGAGCGAGCGCCACCCATCGGGCTCTTTAATGAATTGTTGCCCGGGATTATTATCAAGTGGCCTGATATACGATCTGGGTCAAATTTGTTTTTATACGAGGGCCTCGTATTGAGTAATGACAAGTATTTTGTAACATTTATGCACTTTAAACAACGAACAATCAATTATTTTCCAACGACTACTCGATCCTTTCACCGCTAATGATGATGATGTTATTAGTCATTTCTGTCACATCCCAAAGATAATAGTTTCGACTGAAACATACACACGCGCCCAGAAGTATTTTCAAAGCTAATAAAAAACACTTTTTAATATTGTAATTTTGGAGTTGGAAAATAACAATTCAGACATATTAGGTCAGATTGTTGCTGATATTCAGCAGTTCCAAAAGAACTGTTTCCTAAGCATCTTTCACCCGGAGATAACTAGTCGTTGACAGCTGATCTACGGGCCCTAACAATGCGTCTATTAGAGAGCCAAACCGCAGTAATTTGGCCCATACACAGGCTACCATTAGGCGCGATTGACTAAGAACCACCTCCAACGTCCAGGCGAGGAGTAACGCTTCCCGGCTGACACGCCAAGTTGCATTGTGAGGAATTGTGCAAGCGGCGGCTGCATCACTTTTCCATTTCCTGGAATGCTGTATAAGAGTTGAAGGGTCGTTAACGCTGACGTAGGTGGCGCTACGACAGCGGAAGTAAAGGCGTTCGCCTGGCCGACGGCATTAGCTGCAGCGCCAGTTCTGTGGTTGACGCGGAATGGTGGCTGAGTTGATCCTCTTGAAGAGATTACAGTTTTTATAATCTCACAGTGGATACTTTTTATTCGCTTTGTACAAGTTATTTTTTACTAAGTAAATTTAATCACATAATATCAAATGCTTATTTTTTTTAAATTTTATTCATAGAAAAATATTTTTAGTTTTGCCAGTGGCGTCCGTACTAGCTCTTTACTGGATATTTCTAAAGACAAAATTGATACGCCTCTGCTTTTACATAAAATAAAAATCGTTTTTGGATTCTTCATTCAATTTTTCTGTACCACTCAGCGTTTTCGGGTAAAAAAATAAAAAAACAGCATAATTCAAACAACGATGTTCTCGCAGTGTAAGCGAGATATACGATTTAAGAAAATCTGGGCGCCACCCACTCGTATAAAAATATTTTCATTTTCGCAGACGGCCGGGCTTATCGAGCACTGCTCGCTCAGATATGAGCCCTATCTCGGCCCACACGGTTTTAATACTCCTCTAAAATCCTTTCCGTTCTCCAAATTAAAAGGATTTATTCTGTGAGACGAGAAAAGGTATGTTAGCTTTGAAGATTAGGGATTTGGGCGCCTTATTATTTTAACCCACCCCGCGGTAACTGCCCTGAATGGGCCTTCGCAAATTACTTATTTAATTCGTTTATGCCCGACTATACCGTCGGAAAGGAGCCAACGTAAAACGCTCTTAAAAACGCTTAACAAGATTTCACGGTGGATTAATTTATATCAGGTTTGGTTAGGTAAATTAGATGTGAAATATTAAATAGGCTTAAAGAAGATTTATTAATTGCAATATATCCGCTACTGAGGCCAACGTCAGAAGCTGAATAAAATTTTATCTAACAGCATGATGCGACGTACTACTAAAACATAGAGTTGAAGTGTCATTGTGAAGAATCCTGTTGGCTATTTCATTTTTGTTCCTTAAACTCTCAGCAACATAACTTTCTGCAATTGTGGTTGATTTCCACCCACCATATCTCTTGATTGCTAATACATCAACTCCTGTATTAGCCAGTAACGTTGCCGATGTTCTTCGGAATGGATGGCCTGTATATATTTCAGGATGTTCCAGTTTCAAAAACTGTACAATTGGGAATCATAGAAAGGGTATTCTTGCCGACTGGTTGGTTATAGCATCTACTTGCTTGATAGCGCATAAAAAATCGTGAAATTGCGGTTTCAATTTCTAATCTAATCTTGATATATTTCTTGAGAATCTCTAAGTGAGAAACAGAACCCAGAGTTTGTAGACGTACGTGACGTTTTTAGAATCTGGAATTGTAACTACAATGTCATCGAAATGTTTGAAATTGACGTTGTCCAAAGTAAGTTTGCATGCTCCTGCAATGCCTAAGACCATCACTATCTTCATTAGCAAATATGTCGAGTGCCTGCCTAATTTTGCAAAAATATTTGAGATGTCTCTGTATATTACTCTTTTTGAAAGCAAAGAATTTCGTTTCTCCAAATCAACATGGATTCTTTACGTTACTTTTAACTCAATGTCCGATTTATGTAACTTACGCATCGGTTTTCTTAAAGACATTTTAGTACTGTTCAGTTACCACCTAATGTATATTTTTTAATATTTTTTGTTGCGTATTTCTAATTAATTTATTAGTGTTACTTTTAGTTACTTATATCCACTCAATGTATTATACGTTTACTTATACATATAACTTCTGTCTTGTTAAATTATTATCGTTACATATTAGTTGAAAATTTTGTTACAGTGACACCTGGAATCAATCCTAAGCTTATTTAGGGTGCAATCCACGCGGGGAACAGAATTATGAGCTCCCTTGACATTTCGTTTGTTTGCACATATTTACTGAAGCCCGGAAGTACCAGCGAAATTAGTTTACATTACGTAATAAAATATAAAAATGCAAAAATGCCCTTCCTTTAATTTGTTTCTGCCAAACAAGGGAAAGGTAGGCGGAAAACACACAAAAATTACGGTTGGTTGTTGACTGTATCTAATCAGTTTGTGTATAAATAACGTTCATCTGAGCGTACGCGAACCCGTGGGGTCGGAAGACGAAGGTTTAATAAATATATATTACGGAATGCTATGCTCTGTGCCTCTCGATGAGGTCGCATCCTACAGGGTGTTAGACAGGTAGTGCGGTATACTGAATAGGGTGCTAGAGGCGGTCGATAGAAACAAATATAGTTTAGTCCAACGTTGTAGCCGTTTTCGGGATATTTGGGATTTTCTATTCCTCCCAGTCGGCAAGAATACCCTTTCTATGATTCCTAATAAGATTGCACAGTTTTTGAAACTAAAACATCCTGAAACATATACAGGCTATTCGTTCCGAAGAACATCGGCAACGTTACTGGCTAATACAGGAGTTGATGTATTAGCAATCACCAGACATGGTGGATGGAAATCAGCCACAATTGTGTCTTTTTTCTAAATTGTTTTCAGTAGCAAGATCATTTTTTAAATTAATTTATAACTTATAAAAATGAAACTTAACTGTTATATAAATAAACAAAGACGTGTCAGGTTACTAGGTTACGGAAATCCTACTCTATGCAACTTTTTAGATTACTAACTTTGTAATGCTTTCATATCTACCACTATTTGCTTATTACTATTACCTACTAATATAAAATGAGAAAAAATAGTATAAACAAATCTCGTAAGAACAGAGTTTTACTAAACTTGTATTGTATGTTGTATATACTATTTCAGAACTGTAATGAAAATATTGGATTGCATTTTTTATGCAAATAAGGTTCAAATTAATAAGTATTAATAAGCGCGTGTCCCTTGGTTTAGCTTCAACTAAAACTTTCATACCCTGTTTTATTCGGTGGTTATAAATAATGGGTATGCCTGGTAGTAACGAATGAACGTCCATTTCCTGGCGACTGCAGCGCTTTTTTATCCAATAAATATATAATGGTAACCGCATTCCTCTCATCTATAAAACATTTTTAGTGCCACTTAAAATTTTATTATTTTTTTCTCACCCCCCTAATGCAGTGAGCTTTTACACAGTGTTACATCAAAAATGAAAACTAGAAAAACTGTTGTTTTCTTTATTGCGTTATATTCTAACGTTAAACATTTAACTCTACTTTCTCCACCACATTTGCAGTGTGTTAATCCTTTTAACCTTCTTTTGCAACATGAGAATCCCATACATCAATGCTTCAGCAGTTGGCGGACAACCAGGTACATAGATGTCAACGGGGATAATTCGATCACAACCTCGTACCACAGAATAAGAGTAGTGGTAGTATCCCCCACCGTTTGCGCAGCTTCCCATGGAGATAACCCACTTTGGATCAGGCATTTGGTCGTATACTTTGCGCAGCGCCACCGCCATTTTGTTCGTTACGGTTCCAGCCACGATGATGACGTCGGTTTGTCTAGGACTTGCACGAAAGACGACGCCGTATCTGCAACAAAACTATAAGGAAGCGCCACAGAAAACCCCTTTGCTACTATGTTTTTCTTTCTGTACATATACAGATAAAGATAAGGGGAGAAAGTTAAAGCCAAGAGAACAGTTCCTCAAATTCTAGCTTACCTGTCCATGTCATATCTGGGAGCTGCAATCTGCATCATCTCGACAGCACAGCAAGCCAAACCGAAGGTCATGGGCCACAGTGATCTACTATGTCCCCAATTAAGAAGGTCATCAAGACGAGCGAATGCAATTTCAGCTAAACTTTTCTTATTCTGAAATGGGGAATATGGTCTCTTTTCAAAAGGCTTGTACATCTTCGCCATTCCTCCAGGCGTCGGAATGTCATAGGCCTCGCTTATTGGTTTGGTCTCATTTTCCTCACCATCACTTTCACACTTGTTCCATTCCGTCGAATAACGAAGGATTGGAACTTTATCCCTGACACGTAGTCTTCTAAGCAGGGACATTTTTGACAGGTTTGACATGACAATGTCAATTCGTGGTGTGATAAAAAGCAACTTCTAAAACACCTCCATTCGACGTAGAACTTTGATATTCATTTACGAATAAAATACGTTAGTTCCATCTAAATGTGCCTTACAAATTGTATTCAGTAAATTTGCATCTGAATATGGAAATAAATATCTCAATTTACATTCATCTGTCTGGGGAATTCTTCCACACATCAGTGGATACAATATTTTACGTAACACAAAACTTTAAACTGAATTTGTCTAATTTACAGTTCGTGTATTGTTAGCTTCAGTCTATGTTTCGCACCTTAGTTACTGGTGCAACTTTATTTGAATAAAATGTACAGGTATATGCAAAATCGTATAAAATTATGCAGCTACTGAAAACTGCATAAAATATAGTAAAATATGTTTTTAGACCGCTGTTATAATTGTGAAAAGTCGTAACATTCACAATTAGTTCAAATTAGTGAGCAAAAAATAAATAATGATAAAGAATTGAGGAACACGACGCTAACGATACAAAATGCGTTTATAAAAGAACCTTGCCTAAGCACGCAGCGAAGGTTAAATTCCTACATTGAAAATAATGATATTCATTTCGAGCATTTATAATAAACATCTTTACTTTTGTTAAAATTTAATTGTTCTTTCGTTACATAATATCAATATCTGTTTATTACTGTTTTTGTTATCATTTTCAAGATTGTTACTGACTCACTCATCAATTTTTCATCAATAATAATGCGCGATCACACATAACACTATGCATACACAGTAATGGCTGATGCTGTTCTTCTCGACAAGTGTTTGTCAATAAAAACGAATTTCCTTTTACAAATTTTCAAACTAAATCAGGTTTATTTTGACTACAAATGGTATTAAAGTTATACAAGCGGAAACGTTAATATTTTGAAACAATCTTCAAACTACAACTAGTGACTATCCACGAACGTCACAACATGATAACGTGACGTGTCGCTAAAGTTTATTCTATAAATTAACTGCTAGCCATGAAGCGGCACATTTATCATGTAAACTCCAATACCGCAGCTTTGTTTGCTTCTGTTGTAATTAACACTGTACCTCCCTTCGAATTTTACCAAACTACATTATTAATTACTCTAGCTTAATTTATTTTTAACTAGGCATCTCTGAAATTTCGGTTCTTACCACTACAGCATAAGAAACTTTCTAGCGCGTAGTCACCATTACATGAAAGTAAATGTAATGCATAACTTGTTTTTCTTTGACAAAACCCTGGGTAGACCTTCGTTCACGCAAGTCGGTATATAAATAGCTATTTACTTTTACAAGTGCCGAAAAAAAATATTGTTTGCAAGCGCAGATTTTAACTTGACGTCTGCACGAATACACGTAATCTTTTCAGCTACTTGTTTTAAACGACCTTTTTATTGCAGTTGTGAACAGGAAAGTTATCAGAACGTGATAAGGATGGATGTACGATAAGTCGGTGCGCTATTACTTGTAAAATAAATTAAAAACACAGGGTGTTACAATCTTGAATGTGAAAAATATGTAATTAAAGTACCCAAAGATTCACGTCGTCCAAATAATCATACGTATTAAAAATAATGTTAAAAAATACAGAACTTTAGTAGGATTTTCTAATGATTTCCAATCATTTGAAAAGGATTTACTGGTTTATTTGAAAAAAGAAGTATATGTATATACACTTTTGAGTACGCCAGTGAGTTTCCTTTGTAGAAAAGATTTAAGTACATTTGAACACCAAAATGTATTGTTTCTACTTCCTGAATAATATACCACTATTATGCTGCTTTTTATATTTGCTGCGTATTTTTTCCAGCGAGCTTTAGATAATTTTCCAGTAGTAATCTTCCATAATTCATCAAGGATGGTATTTCAATAGACGTTTGCCTCCTGAAACTGTGCGAATGGGTAAACAGAACTGAGTGTATGGCCCAGAATAAGTACGTTCATTAATTTTAGTGAAAGATTATTGAAATGTTGCTGCGTCAATGGATGAAAAATAGCAGTGTTTTATGTTAAAAAGGTTGAAAGGGAAATTCCTCCTAAATCGTGAAATCTACTGGCGCGCATTTACATTTTACTCCTTTTTAAGTTGACTAAAAGCAATCCATATCTCCCCTTCGGTCTTTCAGTCAGTTCGTAAAAAAAAAAACGCTACTTGAACAAATACGGACGCTTGTACGTGGTTCGGGTGCTGTCTCCATTCGCTGAAATATTGAAAGAAATCTCTCTTTTAGCATTTATTACCCTGCGTGCAATAGAAAGAGAAGTTTAGAATATGGTTTTTCTTAATAAGAAAGTGCTCTTTATACAGGATGTTAAAAAAGGCAATAATTTTTATACTATATACCATAAAATACAATGTTTATCACATTTTTTAACTTCTCTGCTTAATTCTAAAAAATAATTAGCGTTGTAATAAGTTTAAAATTCGATAAAATTCATATCGAGCAACGTGACAATATTTTTCATTTCTGATCTACACCCATCTGGTAACGACTTCTTAAAAATTCTTTGATATCTCAAACGTACTGGATGTATCACGATTCTTATTTATTTCTATTTTATTTATTTACTTTTCGGTAGCTTTTAATGTGCGTCAGTATTTTTATAACCCCGGCGATTGAATAAAGTGACATGGCAACAATTACCGATGAATCCCCAAGACAAGATAAGGACTGAAGTATGTATTGTTTAAGATGCATAACTAAAAAAAAATATTGATCTACTTACTCAGAAGTCTGACTGTAAAATATCGATAACAATCTTTTGCCTACTCATCGCGGTAATTTCCTTATCAATTCATCTCACATATTAATTTACATACTGAAATGCAATCAATTATGTTGTCGAATGAGTGATTTTTATCGTTCTGTAAAAAGGCACCGGTGAATTTTATCCCACACCCACATCTCGACTAGATGACTGTCGTTAGTTTTGTATCAGTACAGAAAAGAAGTTGTATACTACTTATAAATGTACATAGATATACAGGGTGTCCCACTAAGGTAGGCGAGGATATTAGGGAAAGTATAGGCCCTAGAACTACGGGAAAAAAATTTGATTAATAAATCAACAAAGAGAAATAGCTGGAAATAGTTTTCAAGTTCGTAGTTCGGCTGCTATGGGGCGCAATCTACATACCAAAATATAGAGTTGAATTTTTCTCAGAAATGTTTCCTATTCAGGTATATTAAATACTACAAATATGGTTAACTTTTGTTAACCTATGTGAACCTGGCACCCGACTTCAAAAATTCAAAATTTTTTTTGATATTCTTATAGATTTTCGTTTGTAGTTATTTGTAGTAACAATATTTTCGTTTGTAGTAGCTCAAGAAAAAAGTTATATAGCCTATAAAAACACCCATCCCCCCAATTTAGCCGCACTTAAATCTGATAGTTGCTTCCTATAGAAAATCGTTTGTAGTTGATTGTAGTGAACGAATTTTCGTTTGTAGTAGCAAGGAAAAAACGTTAGAGCTATTTTAAAAATTTACCATGAGTAAATTTAGAAAGCGCTTCTAATTTCAAGATTTTTTGTGCATAATACCTTCTATACGTCAAATTATGTTCTTCAAATTGTTTAAAGTTGTTTGTAGTTGCACATATTTCGTTTGTGGTTCGGCGAAAACTAACTAAAAGTCACTACATTCCAAACTATGGCTCCAAAATCGTTTGTAGTTGTTTGTAGTGGCGTTTATTTCGTTTGTAGTTATATGAATACTGACGAAAAGTCACTAAACTCCAAGCTCTGGCTTTAAAATCATTTGCAGTTAGTAGTTTCTGTAATAGCGTTTATTTCGTTTGTAGTTCTTCTAAAACTGACGAAAAGTTATTATTAAACTACAAGTTCCGGGTTTAAAATTGTTTGTAGTTGTTTGTAGTGGCGTTTATTTCGTTTGTAGTTACATGAAATCTGACGAAAACTTTTGGTTGTAGTTCTTCTAAAACTGACGAAAAGTCACTAAACTCCAATCTTTGGTTATAAAATCGATTGTAGTTGTTTGTAGTAGCGTTTATTTCGTTTGTAGTTCTTCAAAAACTGACGAAAAGTCACTAAACTTCAAGCTCTGGCTTCAAAACCATTTGTAGTTGTTTGTAAAGTAACTCTGGCGTCCCACTAGCATTTCGTTCGAGGATTCCAGCAAACCAAACCGCACCCTTCTAGGTTGAAAAATAAAAACTTTACGGGCCGTTCGCCAATTTCAGAAGTCACGTGACTTAAAACGTGACCTAATAAAGTCGCTCTATATCTTTTCAACCGTTGAAAATATCGAAAAAGTAACTGTGGCGTCCCTCTAGAATTTCGTTCGAGGATTCCAGCAAACCAAACCGCATCTTTCTAGGTCGAGAAATGACAAAGTTACAGGCTGTTCGCCAATTCAAAAAGTCACTTGACTGAAAACGTGACCTAACAAAGCCCCTCCATAACATTTTAGCTGTTGAAAATATCGAAAAACTAACTCTGGCGTCCCTCTAGAATTTCGTCCGAGGATTCCAACAAACCAAACCGCACCCTTCTAAGTCGAGAAATAAAAAAGTTACAGGCTGTTCGCAAATGTAAAAAGTCACGTGACTTAAAACGTGCCCTAACAAATCCCTTCCATATCTTTTTAACCGTTGAAAATATCGAAAAACTAACTCTGGCGTCCCTCTAGAATTTCGTCCGAGGATTCCAACAAACCAAACCGCACCCTTCTAAGTCGAGAAATAAAAAAGTTACAGGCTGTTCGCAAATGTAAAAAGTCACGTGACTTAAAACGTGCCCTAACAAATCCCTTCCATATCTTTTTAACCGTTGAAAATATCGAAAAACTAACTCTGGCGTCCCTCTAGAATTTCGTCCGAGGATTCCAACAAACCAAACCGCACCCTTCTAAGTCGAGAAATAAAAAAGTTACAGGCTGTTCGCAAATGTAAAAAGTCACGTGACTTAAAACGTGCCCTAACAAATCCCTTCCATATCTTTTTAACCG